AAGCTTTTCAGCAGATGGAAGCATGAAGTGCTCCAAAATCTCCTGATAACTAGCTGCATTGACCCTGCCCTTGATAAAACACAGTGGACCAACACCAGCAGCTGACATCAATCAACCTTTATTTATACAGGTAAATCCCATTGAGCCTCGAGGACTCATTTACAAGAGAGACCTGATTTCAACAAAGAAAGATGACACAATGGACAACAGCAACAACAATAAACAGTTGTAAAAAAGCATACTACAGTTTTTTTTTTTTTAAACAAATAAGATGGTTAAAAGGAAAAGGTAGCAAAAAAAACAAAAAAAAAAACAGCTAGATTCCAAGACAAATGTAGAAAACTAACAACAGGAACATGTCAGCATTGGACCCTGCCAGGTGTCCAACAGATTCTTAAAGACACTTAGAGATGTCAAGGTCGAGAGCTTCAAATCTTTTGCAAGATGTTCCAGGAAACAGGAGCGGAATAGGCGAAGGCCCTTTTGCCTAGTTCAGTCCTCACTGAGGGAACACTGCAGGTAATGATGTCCTGAGTGCGCACTCCGTAGCTGCACTCATGCAGAGACATGTAGGAGGAGATGTATGAAGGCAGCAGACCAAGAAGTGATTTAAAGATGAAAATGTACCAGTGAGAGAGTCTGCATGAAGTTAATGATGTCCAGTTAACCAGTGAATACAGTGTGCAGTGGTGGGTATGATAATCACAGCCAGTTATGAATCTTAGTGCACCATGATAGACAGCATCCAACATCTGCAGGGTTCTTGTAGGAGCGTTCATGTAAATAATATCACCAAAATCAATTGAGGGAAGGAAAGTCACAGATACAAGACGTTTCCTAGCATTCAGGGTTAGACATGACATGGCACCCCAGACCATCACTGACTGTGGGTGCTTCACACTGGACTTCTGACATTTTGGCATTTCCTTCTCCCCAGTCTTCCTCCAGACTCTGGCACCTTGATTTCCGAATGAAATGCAAAATTTGCTTTCATATGAAAAAAGTACTTTGGACCACTGAGCAACAGTCCAGTGCTGCTTCTCTGTAGCCCATGTCAGGCGCTTCTGCCGCGGTTTCTGTTTCAAAAGTGGCTTGACCTGGGGAATGCGGCACCTGTAGCCCATTTCCTGGACACGCCTGTGCACGGTGGCTCCGGATGTTTTTACTCCAGACTCTGTCCACTGCTTCCGCAGGTCCCCCAATGTCTGGAATCGGTCCTTCGCCACAATCCTCCTCAGGGTCCGGTCACCTCTTCTCATTGTGCAGCGTTTTCTGCCACACTTTTCCCTTCCCACAGACTTCCCACTGAGGTGCCTTGATACAGCACTCTGGAAACAGCCTATTCGTTCAGCATTTGCTTTCTGTGTCTTACCCTCTTGCTTGAGGGTGTCAATGATGGCCTTCTGGACAGCAGTCAGGTCGGCAGTCTGACCCATGATTGCGGTTTTGAGTAATGAACAAGGCTGGGAGTTTTTAAAAGCCTCAGGAATCTTGTGCAGGTGTTTAGAGTTACGTCGTTGATTCAGATGGTTAGGTTAATAGCTTGTTTAGAGAACCTTTTCATGATATGCTAATTTTTTGGGACAGGCATTTTGGGTTTTCATGAGCTGTATGCCATAATCATCAGTATTAAAACAATTAAAGACCTGAAATATTTCAGTTGGTGTGCAATGAATCTGAAAAATATGAAAGTTTCATTTTTATCATTACATTATGGAAAATAATGACCTTTATCACAATATGCTAATTTTTTGAGAAGGACCTGTACATGTATAATGTCTCTTTATGTTGCTTTGCTGTGGTAGGTTTTTTTGATGCCTCAAATCATGCCCTGTCTAGGACACGGCGTGAGAGATCTTTTTGTTTTATACCGTCTCTCCTCATGTTTTCTTCCCTTTTCTCATCTAAGCAAAATATTATTCTGAATAAGAATAAGAAGGCCGAGCTATTTAATAGCCGCAGCTTCGTGCACTCCACCCATCTTTTGGAAGACTGTACGTACATATTCTCGTATCTCGGTGCAATGCCAATAAAGTTTATTCTGATTCTGATGTCTGCATTGGTCCTTGCCAGGAACTTAACAGATGCTTGAAGCCACTTAGAGAGGTCAAGGTCGAGAGCTTCTGATCTTTTTGTAAGATATTCCAGGAAACAGGAGCGGAGTAGGAGAAGGCCCTTTTGCCTAGTTCAGCTCTCACTGAGGGGACAATGCGTGTAATAATGTCCTGAGAGCTGTAGCTGCACTCAAGCAGAGACATGTAGGAGGAGATGTATGAAGGCAGCAGACCAAGAAGTGGCTTAAAGATGAAAATGTACCAGTGAGAGAGTATGTGTGAAGTTAATATGTCCAGTTAACCAGTGAATACAGGGTGCAGTCATGGGTACAATAGTTACAGACAGTTATGAACCATAGCGCACTGTGATAGACAGCATCCAACATCTGCAGGGTTCTTGTAGGACCGTTCATGTAAATAATGTCACTGTAGTCAATGGAGGGAAGGAAAGTCACAGTTACAAGGCTCTCAGAGTTAGACAGGATCTATTTCTGAAAAAGAAAGTTTTCCACGTGAAGCTAAAAGAGAGATGCAAATTGACTAAGATACCCAAGTATTAGTAGGAATAAAGAAACTCAATAAGAGCACCATTCGAAGATAAAAATCAAGGGAAGAACTGCTGTTAGGCTGATTGGTAACTTAATTGTCCATAGGTGTGAATGAGAAAGTAAATGGTTTGTCTCGTTTGTCACTATGTGTCCCTGATGGACTGGAGACTTGACAAGGGTAGGGCTTTAACAGACAATTCGAGTAATCAACAGGTCGATTAATAAGACATCTATCGAGTTTTTAAATTTCACGTCGAGTATTCACAGTGAGGTCATTACGTCGCAGTTACATCACTGCGTCACGTGATCCACACCGGATTACTAGTAGAAGCTACCAAATGGATTCCTTCCAGCAGATGGACTGAGCAGAGCAGGCCCAGTCTTGGCAAACAGGTAGAAATGCATCAATAGTCTGGAAATATTTCACTAAAGATTAATCTTCCGGTTCAACCACCGTAAGGAAACAGAAAATTAATCAACTTCCTGACTGTATGGAGCTCGTTGCGAATCGGTGTTACACCATATTCTGTGATGACCATATATTGTGACCGTAGGGGGCGGTGTTGCATGCACTGTTGCAGGTCACAGAATATGGTGTAACACCGGGTCCAATCGCCCGAACCAGCTTCCTCTGACCTTGATTCACAAACTAAAAGCAAAAAATATTAATCTCTAAACCTATTTTAAAAACCTATAAACATATTAATCTCTAAAACTAAACCTAATGCGCACCACAGCTGGCAGTGGTGCGGGGTGGTCGACCGCCCCACCGTTTTTAGTTTTGTTTTTGACGTGCCACATGTTTCTTCACTTTTGCAGCTTAATAATAATAACTAATAGTTTAGTTTTTCCTGTGACTTACTACAGTATGATAAATGGTAGGAGCATAATATATGCTTCCAATGTTTTTTTGTTTTTTTTGTTGTAAATAATAAATGGCGCTATTTTGTGGTTTTATTTTTTATTTATTTTTTCATCTTGAAATCCTATGACGTCATCAACTACTCAAGTTCTACTCGAGTTTTATTACGTTAATGTCGAGTTTAAAAATTATGTAGTCGTTCAAACCCTAGTCAAGGGTGTCCCCCGCCTCTCACACAATGACTAGACAGGTGCACCTCTGACTCTCATGACCCGTAAAGGAAGAAGCAGGTAAAGATAATGGATTGATGGATGCAAAAGTTGAGACATTAAATTCATGTGCCCTTCAATTCTTCAATCCTTCACATTATTTTACCACTTCATTATTTCACTTTTGCCCTCTAACATTTCCCCCTTATCCTCAGAGAGAACAACCTCCAACTCATGGTGTCAGTTTATAGCCAACAACAGAGACTTTAACATTAATGCCAAACCAAACCTGAACAGAACATTAACAAGAACAACCCATTTCCCAACCAGAAACACTGCACACATAATTGCCACAAGGCTACCCAGCATCCTTTGCAGCTCACAGGCTGAACGCTCTTGTAGCTACGCTCTCTGTCAAGGTCCAGAAGTTTGGTCACATGTGCAAGATGGTCATGTCTGTATGATGATGACAATGCTCCGAACACATTAACATTTAATAGAATTAGATTTTAGATAGAAAAGTCCTGGGGGTCTGTCAGCAACAGCAGGATCAGTGACGACTGAGAGTATGTGTGGTTTGTATGCAGTGTGTCTGAGTGCAGCAGGGAGCTCTGCTCTGAGCACTTTGAGACGTAGAGGGTCTCATAGCTGAGCCACTCACTGAGTTGGGAACACTGCTGGCACCCTGGCTCACTGGCAGCATGACAGCTCAGTGGTTAGTACTGTTGCCTCACAGCAAGAAGGTCCTGGGTTCAATCCCCAGTTAGACCTGGGGTCTTTCTGTGTGGAGTTTGCATGTTCTTCTCGTGCTTGCATGGGTTTTCACAGAGTACTCCGGTTTCCGCCCACAGACCAAAAAACATGCATGTTTGTCTGCCTTCAGGTCCAGGCCTCTCTTGCAAAAGAGATCTGTGATCTCAGTGGGATTTGCCTGGTTAAATAAAGGTTAATAAATAAATAAATGTACATCAGATGGTGTCAACATTTATTATCTGGGAGAATAGCAACATGTCGGCCATATAGGGCTTATAAAAAAAAAAACATCAACATTTTATTTTCATTTTGAAAAGCGTACGGTAGTCCTTGACCCACTCCCCCCCAGTGTATGGTTTGTACACTTGTGAAAATGATGAAAACTTTGAATCACCCTTTAATAAAGTTTTGTTTTACAATCCTACTATGGCACACAGGCCTTAAAGCTACAATCCAGTTTCTAGGGTCCTCAATAAATTTAGTCCATTACAGTCCAGTGATTCTTTGGAAATTAATGTTTTGGACTAATAAAAAAATGTAACAATGTGTTTCACAAACACTGGTCTATGTTTACCTTTGACTGTGAGTCTTGCTGTGGTGCGCACTCCTTCAGCTGAAAAGACGATGGTGCCTGTGTCCTCCAGAGTCAAGTTAGACAAGGTGAGGCCATGTACCAGCCCATTGGCGCTCACTCGAAATTGGTTGTTTGGCTTTACTCGGATGCCATTCTTCTGCCAAATACCTTCCACCTCTGTGTGGGAGAGCTCCACCTCAAAGGATGCAGTCTCTCGTTCAAAGGTTTCCTGGTCCGTTAGGCCTTTGCAGATGGCAATCTTTCGAGCTGGATTAGAGAGGATCAAGTAGAGGAGTGTGATGAAATGAGTGGAATGGTGCCAGGAAGAAATAATTTCCATATAATCAGAACATATTGTTTAATGCTTAGCAATTATATGCATGAAAATAACTTATTGAGAGTATAATTCTTTGTCCATGTATGATGGAAAAGTTTACATACAACACTTTCAAGCAATGCTAAAACAGTCACTGTACATAGATAGTATTTTATATTTCAAGGACAATAAAAGAGCATGTAAAAATAGACAGTGTTGGCATTACAAAACAAGTCTTACAGAAGCACTCATTGTCACAGTGTCACTCAGTGCACTGTTGTACAGCAATAAGGCTGTGGTTCAAAAACACTTTTACACTTGTAGGTCTAGCCAAGTTGTTCTTAGTACCTTTATGCAGTGATGTTCTGTGTAAAAATATTTGTACTGGTACCCCTCTTTACTTTGCCAGACGTTGTCTGTAGCATATATGAAATGTCATTGACAAAATTATAAAAAAAATAAGCTATTTACTTTTACAATTGATTCTGATTTCTTGAAAAAGAACATGATTTTTTTATCTATTCATAAACTAAATCAGTAACTACCACAAGGGTGGTTATTGATTTAGTTAATATTTAGTTTATTTATTGGTTATTATAATAAACCCCACCATCTGCTCCCCTGGGTGCCCTAGATGGCAACTCTCTGCTCCACACAGAGGTTTGTGGTGGCTCAATGGTCTGTGGTTGAATAAGGAAGGACATTTGGTGTAAAAACAATTGCCAAGTCTTTGTGCGAGTTAGTTCGCGGTGAGAACCCCTGAAGAAGTGAGCAGCCGAAAGAAAAAAAAAGAAAAAAGAAAAGAAATCAATACAGTTGTCTCTCACTATATTGCGGTTCACTTAATGCGGCTTCAATGTATCACAGGATTTTTAAACCCAGTATTTTATATTGTGTACTGTACATGCTATGCAGTACTGTACATTCATGTCATCATCATCATCTTCATCGGCATCATGAGAAGTGTTTGGGCATATGAAGTGTTTATGAGAGTGAAAAATGTTAATAAGAGACCACTCTCTTATTAACATTTTTCACTCTCTAGTGAACACTTCATATGACCAAACATACTATATATATATATATATATATATGTACTATATATATACAGGGACCTCTTGACCGCCGCGGATTCATCCTCCGCCAAAGGTAAAGAGTCGTCATGAGCTTCACTACCAGTGTACCGCAGGCGAACTGCGCTTCAAAGGAGCGTGTTGTTCTGGTCTACAGACATACATCCTCATCCATCTTTTCCCTCTCCATTTAAACTCCTTCATTTCCCATCTTTAAAACTCTTTTATTTTGCCAGTAATTAATCCAGATATTTTCAGAAATGTCTGTTGTATTTCAGTTGCAAGTGAGAAATCATGGCCGTATGATTTCTCATTGTAAAGCTCATTAATTAAGCTGTGTTATTGCGTTCAATCAGAATAATCAAGTGTACAATGTTTGATGTTAAATTTTGATTCTGTTAATAAATGACCACACTCATTTTGATGGGTCAAAGAAAATTAACGTCTCACGTCACTGTACTTCTAAACACAATATCTTTCACATATCTGTCAAGTAGCTCGAAAAAGAGAGAACCCGTCATTAAATATTGATTGTAGTGGAGCTCCTACGCTAACTAACCCTACATCACTACATTCTCATTTCAGACAGAAGATCAAAATGCATAATTACTCTGTAACAGACATTTTAAAATGATTTCTACTTTGAATGAGGATTAAAAAAAATCATTAATACTGTTTCACAGTTGATTTAAAATGAGTAGTTCACTTCAACATTTAAAATGGTTTGAACTAAACACACTTTTGATTATCAAGACATTTGTGAAAATAGTAATGACAATATAAAAAGAGAGTGTTCTTTCAATTGATTAGTGCAGGACACACTTAGAAAGTCTCTGGATGAGCTTAATTTGTATTTCTGGACTCAAATCAATGAAATAACAGTTCCTGTCCCATGAAGGTCCTCAGGGTCAGGTTTTGACCTGAGGCTTAGTTCACTACAGTACTATATATATATATGTACTATATGCAAGAGCCATATTAGTAAAATAAGTAATTGATGGCTTGACAGGTGAGCATGCAGCTTTGACACTTGGGTGGTGGGTGTGTCAGTGTGTGTGTGTGTGTTGACCGACACCAGATATAAATGACGTGCTGACTGGCGTTCTGGCTTTTGTATGGATGAGGAAGTTGGGTGCGCCCGGGGTCGTCATATTTTCTGTTGACCGTGTTATAAGACGCCATAGAGTTATGCCATGAAGCATTTATCAATAGTTTAGACCTGGTCAGTATGTGTTTCAGTCTGTAATGTTTAAAGCTTGGAAATTTGAAATGGAATAAACTGATCATGACACAAAGAAGTGACCTGGAGTGATGTCAGTTTGGAAACACGTGTCGGACAGAGATTCCCGAGTTTAACCCAGTGCGGCCCTCAATATCATAAGTTTGCCGCGAAATTATCATCAACAGAAAATGAAAATCGAAGAAGCGGATTATTGGAAAGGCAAGTCTGGATTCTTTGTTTCTGTTTGGAACAGTTTGGAAGTGGCGATTACGCACAGAGCGTAACGCAGCGTCGTCTGTTGAGTGAAATTCCTTCACTGCAGCTCAATCAAGTCCGCTGGAACTGAGGTATGGACACGTATACACACACTGGCTCCCTTTGTATGAAGAGGAATCGTTAAAAGGACGAACAACGTAAAGATATATATATAAAATGTAAAAAATAAAAATGGAGTCCGCTGGATCTAAATCAAGCTCAGCTGTAAGCGGTAAAGATGAAAAAAGACACCCAAAATTAACCGTTAAAGCATTACAAAATAAAATTGAGAAGCTTCAAAAGGAACTCAAAGCAAAGGTTCACAAAATTGAAAGAGTAATGTGTGTTATTAAAGAACTCATGCAAAATGAAGGAAATTACAAGAATGTTCAGTCTCATTGTAATGATTTGAAATTATTGATTGAAAATGCAAATCAGCTTTATGAGTCTGTTATTCCTCTGTTTCCCACTGAAGAACAAGAAAGACAAAATATCTGGTTTTCAAGCATGTATAGCCATAACTCTGGATTCATACAAGAAGTTGAAAACTGGATTTCAGATGCAGAACAGCTCAACAGTGCAGCTCAACCAATGGGAGAAGCTGCTGAATTAAACCAAGCTCAAATATCGAGTGTTGAACCCTGTGTGAATAAAGATCTTAATGCATCTCTTGTTTCTCAGCATTCAGTGTGATGCAAATGCTGATGCTGAGGTTAACCACTTATGAACCTCTGAAAAGAGATCCAGGAAGTGGTTACAAGAAGAAGTTAATAGATTGCCTGAAAAATTTGGAGCAGGACAAGGCTATTGACCGTATTCTGTACCACAGACTGTACCCAGGGGAGGCCACACCTAGTCTGTATGGTTTACCTAAAATCCACAAACAAGGTGTACCTTTAAGACCTATTGTTAGCATGATTAACTCTGTCACTTACAACGTTTCCAAATATCTGGCGTCTGTACTCATCCCTTTAGTTGGCAGCTCAGAACACCACATACAGAACACCATGGACTTTGTGGATAAGGTGAGGGATGTCATCATGGAGACTGTAGTGGACTAGGCCTGATGTCAAAATTGACCATATGGGACTGAAACTGTCATTTCATTGATTTGAATCCAGAAATACAGGTTAACCCATCCTGAGACTTTCTTTCTTGAATTAATCAAGTGGAAAGAGACAATTCTCTATGATCATTACTATTTTACAAATGTTTTGATAATCAAATTGTGTTAGTTCAAACAATGTTTACATGTTGAAGTGAACTACTCATTTTTATTTACTTAAACAGTAGTAATGATTTTTAATTCTCAATTCAAAGAGAAATCAAGTTAGAGTACGTTACAGAGTAATGATTCAATTTCTTGATCGTCTGCTTTGAAGTGAGCAAATTTGTAAGTGTGTCAAAGTTCGAGGTTCGGTCAACTAAGAAGTTTACTGAAAAGAAATGTCATGTTTAACTTTTACAGCGAGATACTTGGTGAGTGGCTCCACGAAGTCTGGTTTTTCCATGATATCTTTCTGTCTGTTCTTAAACAATCTGAATCTTTTCCTTGACTTTTAATAACACCTTACATCACAAACCACACCTCTGCTTTGGTCCATCGACCAATCAAAAGGCTCTCAAATGAACAGGAAGTAGAGCTCTTTAAAATGTGGGCACTTCCTAATTCAAGCAGAGTTTTTGGAGTTCATCTCTCAGAAGAGAGTTTTTTGGAATTCAGAATGCAGAGAGTTTGGGAGTTCCAGAATGCAAACGCAGGCATTCATGGATGCTGCTGTATTAGAATCAAGCTGAACCAGAGACGATTTTGGGAATTATAACTTCTGTTTGGATAACCTCACACGACTCTCGAGGTATTTAGCTGTTCTCACGGAGACGCTGAACAGTGGTTGGAAGTGAGACTCCACGCCGGAACTGATCTATCTTCAGAAAAGGTAAAAGTCGACCTTCACCAAAAGTGTACTGTTGGGACAAGCTGATTTCCAAAAGAGCGTGCTATTCTGGTTAAAACAGACAAATTCCCTCACACATCTCTCTGTAAGATAAATCTCAATTTTCCATCTTTAAACTCTCCTATCTGCTAGAAAATTAATCCAGATGTTTTCAGAAATGTCTGTGGTGAAGCAACGGAAAATCATGGCCGTATGGTTTTCCTGGTTGTAAAGCTGATTAATTATGTTGTTATTTTCATATTCTGCCAAATTAATGTAAATGTTTGATGTTAAACTTTGATTCTGTAAATAAATGACCTCCATTCATTTTGATGGGTCAAAGATAAATAACGTCTCACGTTACATTTCTGTTAAATTCAAAGCACGACATCATACAGTCCAGAAAGATGAATGAACCCGTTTAATGTATGAATATATCTCTCCATATGTCATACTACATACTGGTG